AGAGAACTACTCAGCATGATCTCAAACTCCTTTACAAACTGTAAATAATCAGCCGGGTTTCCATCGAAACACCGTGGTTCAAATTTAGGGAGTTTGATGTTCCTATTATCCCTGAACGGCGAAACAGTAACATCAACCATGTCATGCTTAACATCAGACACATCGTTACAATTAACAGACAAGTCACCATGACTTACTTTCCTGTTTGCATCCAAGACACTCTGTCCCTTCTTTGACCCAGGCATTGTTGAACTTGACCCAATTCCAAAATCGTTCCAGATATTGCTCGTTCAAAGAGGACTTGACCGGCACCAGGAAAAATGAACGGCGACTATCCAAACTGTCACCAACTGTTTGAATCCACCAGATATGTTTCCATCGTCAGTAACTGTCAATCACGTCTCATAAACCGTTAATGCCCAGCTCATGCTACGCTCGGCCTCACGCTGTTCCTTGAAGTTTTCAGAAACTCTTAGTAATAACGGACGAAAATCCAAAACACCGATTGGCCGCTTTAGATTTGTTTATTGTTACACCAACATATAAAAATAATAACTGAACTAAGGTCTGTGAACAAATATTACAATAATAAATCACAAGATTACTTCTGACGGTTGTCTCCTGACTTCTTTCTGAACAGCGACCGATGAGACGATGACTGTCGTATTGATGCCTCCGCAAAAATTGGGGAAGTTGGGTTTGAGCAAACAACCAAGATTTGATCGTTCAATCTTCAACTCCATTGACAGTGGCGGTCGTGAAAATTAAGCATAACAAGTGCCGCTAACCGACTGTTTTTCTTAAGGTCACTCCACCTACCTTCAGGACTAGATATTCCACTATTCTTTTCACCCCTGTAAATGGACTATGACCTAATTCGCCCCAGTACTGATCAATTATATAGGTTATACCTATTAAAATTTAGTCTCCTAATTCTCTCTGATAACCCATATAAATGCATCTACTAAGTTAATACTGTTAAGAATGTCCACATGTGTTTATGTTCCCTAAGGCCATATAGGAAACTTATGTCACGAAAGCTATTAGCACTCGATATGCAGTGCAGTAATTGCGGTTACTGCAATAAAAATGGCAGAGATTAACGTCCCGAAGGACGATGAAGCATGCTGACCAGCAGGTATGGTGGCGACCATAAATGTTAATCGCTGCAGCCTGTAGGACAGGAAGATGCATTTCTGGGAGCTTGAGGCCTAAACGTGATTTTAGATCTTAAACTTAAAGAGCGATGATGACTATCTGGAGCTACATAACGAACGAAGCTTTTGACCCTACCAATTACACATATGCCGAGCTTTTTGTCAAGATGCGACCCGATGAGAGCTTAATAGGTCCGTGAAACACACCCATGAGTCAGCGTATTCTACATGTTCCGCTTTTTCGGTTCTTTGAAGCTACTTCTGACTAAACTGTCACCTATGTTCTTCACAACAGGTTTACCTGGGTACCACCGCGCTCTGACATATTTCAACTATCCGACCTCTTAATTAGGCTAACGCCAACTCTCTTCATTCACATTCTCTGCTGCCCTATTAGGTGGTGATGAAGAAAAGAAAAAATTGTTTGATGGAAACCTTGTTTTCATCTGCACATCATAGTTTCGATAGTAAAAGCAATGTGATTGTCACCACCCTGAAGACTACGTAGCTTTTTCTTAAGTATCTTCCGTAATTTCGCTTTTCTAAAGATATATAAGCCTCACTTTTGTTTTATTCCACTTCGCAGTTTCTCAGAATGTTCTTTTCTTTCTGAAAGAGCTTTCACCCACAAGTGGACAGCACTTACCTGAATGCTGGTTGGGTACCATCAGCCGTGGAAAATGAAGTAAAGCCTAGGTTGTCTCTCAACCTTGATGACGACTTTGGTGGCGGTTTCGCATTTCGATATTTGCGTGGGCCAGTTTTGATGACTTGTTGCAATTCAACCATCTAAACTACTGTAACAGTATTAATTTATCGACATTTTGCAGTTCTAATTTATATCATGTTTAATTGCACCCATAAAAATGGCATGCCTCTCTAGTAGATTTACCTGTTTATATGAAACGTAAATTATTATTTCGAGATTGACGGTTGCCGCCAACATGTGCTGGCGGGATGGTTTTCCACAGACTTTTAGACACTGCCAAAGATACAAGGCTTACGGCAACATTTCGCTACTTGGCCTTATTTGTTGTGGTACCAGCACCAGCCAGGGTTTTTTGGAGAACGTAGCTTGGACTTAGGTCGACCACGTGAGTTTCGACTTTGCATGGATTTCGGACGACGGTAGGAGGAATCGCAATGCATGTTTGACCTAAATATCTGCTGGATGGAGTTGCGTAACTCTATCACTGCAGTATCCTTACTCGAAGTCTGTTTGGTCACCGAACATATTTCAGGAACTGACCGTTTTGTTATTCCTAAAATTTTACCTGCAGAAACACCTATGCCGTCTAAAATAATACTTTGAAGTTTCACCATCACAACCTGTATTGACTGTGGCGGTTTGGATACGAGGAATTCTCTGAAAAGTCCTTCATAGAAGTGACTTACCTTATTCTTGTTAGCATGCTTGCCGCTGACTGTTCACCTGACTCCACGTTGCGAAATAATTCGTCAATTCGTTGTTGGTCCATGAGAAAGTTTCTCATTAGGAGGGTTGCTTTAAGCTGTTCAAATGAGTTACCACTGGACTCGAAATATGGATAGTTACGCACTTGCTGAATTCCCGCGATAGGAAATGAACAGCTGCAAGGAACTGTGAACATTGAACAGTTAACCCATATTCGCTGAAATCAGGCTCAGCTATCGGATACCATGATTCAGCATTATCTGACCAAAATGGTGCGATCTGAATAGTCTTGGTAGTTGAGCGTATACGAATGACCTCAGGAGCGTGATCAGTCATGATGAAACATATAGTACAAGAACAAATACAAAATGGAACGAACTCACCGGATTTGTCTGTGTATTTACCAAAGATGAAGTTCGCGGTAGGGCTCATCAGTTTAGAGGCTGATGGTATTGACTTTCACGGATCTAATACCCACAACTTCTACAGTATTCGTTCCACGTAGACCAAAGGCAAAGCAAGACACCAGAATTGACCGTCCAAATTACGAGTTATACTTCGGGACCATATCAAAATGCGAGGCGATTGTTTGGCTAGCTAGGGATCGTGTACGAACGAACGTGACACGATGGCATACCAAATGGGGTGGATGCTTGACCAAAAGTCTGCAGATAAATAAGTTGAGTTAAACATTGAGGGTCAGCATCCAATGTTCATTGGTGAACGCTGTGGCCAATAATTCTGGGGAATCACCTACCTCCATATCATAGCAGAAATCAGAGTTGGCGCCATGCCAACTGCAAAAGAAACCTTGCATTGCCTACATAATCATTTCGTTTTGGAGTCACTACTCGACGGTCATCTACTGGTCTAGCCAACCTCAGTTGCTGGCCACTAAGATATGGCCAGGATTCCGTCAGCCTATGTAGCTAAGTTATCGATCGTAACTCTTTGAAGCGTCACACTCACAGTCTGCAATAGTTACAGTAACCTAGACAAGTACAACTCTCTAAAGAGTCCCTGGTCTTATATCCTGTGACCGGTGAATTTGTGAAACCGTGTATACAGATGAACCATTTCTAAGAGCTGGTCAAGACTTGGACATTCTGAGGGAAAGTTACCTTATTTAATGGCCGATTTTAGCGCCTCAGCGGAATCACTTAATTCTGGGGTTAATATGTGTGCGACAACACATTTGTTGAAATCCTGAGGCAGCGCACTATAAATTCAAGGAATTGTAAACACAGGTTAGTTACATCACATCGATAGAAATCCCCTTCAGCGTGCGGGAACAATGTTCATACATTGTCTTGTTAGGAGAGCACGATCTGAATGGAAATGCTAGTAGATCGAATACATATAAGTTTGTTTGTCTGATAGAGCATCATAAAAATGGTCTAAGTAAAAATATAGTGAAGACAAGTGATGAATAAGTGCAAAAACGATGAGCTCATCGAAGCAGAGTGGAGTGTGCATGCTCGAAAGTTTAGAAGACGAAGCCCGTTAATAGGCTCACCAGTTTAGAGGAAGACGGAATGTCGATGGTTGCGCAAGATATGCTGCACATAGGCGAAAGTTTCTATCCTTAATCCCAAAGTAATTGTTCTTATGAGGCAAAAGACAGATAAAACACCATATCGATCGTCTAAAATAAGAGATTTATTTCTGAGTCAGAGACGTAGAGCGACGATGACTGCTTACTTTACTAGGAATGGTGCACAAACGACTGGAAGCAAAATGACGTGGGTGCTTGAGAGTGTACCTCTATCAAGTTGACTTAGACAGTGAAGATTTGCATCCGATGTAAAGCAAAGAAAGCTTTGCACTGGTTATTTTGTAAAATGGTGCCTTGCTGCCTGTTAAGTTTTGAAAATTACTTAATTTTATATATGTTTGTTTGTATTTTTGTACTCAATTCTAATTTTTCGGAAGTACCCAGCCTTTATTTTAGGTGTTTTTTGGTATGTCCCATTTGTAGGGACAATTTTGAAGTGTGTAGAAACATTAAGTTAATTATTTGATACGCGACAGCCCATTAATTCCTGAGTTAATTTAACCTTATGATGTTTTCGTATTTCCCGCATTCCTTAGGAACGCTAAAAAACTGCATTAAGCAAAATTACTTCATTTGATTCATGATTCTCAATTCAGCCCTCTTGTGTTAATTTATGCAAGCATTAATATATTAGATAGTTTCTGTGTTGTTTCCGGGTTATCCTAGGGATTATTTTGATAAAGACCTAATTTGATGGCTTGTTATACAGAACCGCTTCGAGAAACTATTAACATAGACTTTCTTTGTTCCATACATTCACTTTTATCTTCATTATTTTTCGTTTTCTCGGAGGTTTGCTTCTTCATTGGCGAAATTGGAATGTTGAAACACTCGAGACCCGGGTTAAAATTTAATTTATTTTTTATGTATGTATCACGAAATGACATAAAAATAAGTTTTTTTAACCATATAACTTATTAAATTTTTACTGGTTGTTTAAAGGTAATGGTTAAATGAAGTCATTGGCGCACACCCAGTTACTTAGGTCGTGTTGCACACAAACCTCGTCTGATTGGTTGGCCTGTCGCTGCTTTCGGTTGAGTGGTCTTAGGCATGTTTGATGTCATTGTAATAGGTGCGGGTATTTCTGGATTGGCAGCAGCCCACCTTCTTACTCGTGAATCTCATAGTGTTTTGGTGTTGGAGGCACGTAATCGTCCAGGTGGCCGAATACACAGTGTACGTTTACCGTCACTATCATGTGAGTGAGGTTTTTTATTGCTTTCAAAAAGTAATTTATAAGTTAATACACGTGTTACAATCTTTATTGATTATATTAGGATTAATAAATACTAATTTTAATTGCTTACACACGGCAAACCATGCTTCACTTATTATTTGCATTAAAACCACATTCACTACACGCGTGCGTAAATTAATTTATAATTATAATTTATTATAATTAATAAAAAATTGGGCTGCATGCGTAATTACGCATGCAGCCCAATTTTTTGTTAAACAGTCATGTTCTTAGCTCAAGATAAGATCTGAATTCGATAATAGTCGTGTGACTACTTAGTAGTCTGGTCAGAATTAAGTCCATCTGTAATAAAGTTAAGGAAAATCATGATTACCATTTGCTTTTGTCATTGTTAAAATCAAGCATGCAACTATGTTGTACTACTTTATTGACTTGTTTGCTTATTATCTGCCTGGTTTAGCTTATGATATCTAAAATCCCACGATATTTAAGGACTACGTTCTATTTCTTTCGTATTAAGTTTATTGCAAAATTGAGCCTTCTATGTGATGGGATTTGGAAATAATCGTTGATAAGTACTTATAGTTGTGAGGAGAAGATTGCAAATTAAAATTTCGATTTTAATGTTCAATTCAAAAACTAATTAGTCGGACAGATGGTCTGGTTCAGGTCTCATGCGACGATTCATTCATTTCAAATAAGCTATTTTAAGCTGCTACTTCGATTAAATTAGTGGAAAACCTTATAGCTTACAAGCTTTTCTGAAAGTTTATGATGTAAGTTTCATTTTTGTTGCTGTTAACATAAAATGGCTTCGACATCAAAAGTTTGCTAGAATAAAGGTTTGGAATTGATAGTGTTCTCTGAGCTCCTTGGTTTAATTGCGGAGCTTTCATTGTCTTTCTGGACGACATCTTCAGCGCAGTATTTAGGATAAAGTGAAATGATTCAATTCCAAATCATCCACCTGAGTTACAAATCTTTTCTATTATTAGAATAAAGGTTGTTGAGTTTTTGGAAATGACTTGTTTATACCACTCTTGAATAGAAGCTTTATTCCCAGTATAACTGGTGGTGTGATTTTGCCCCGAAATCAAGTTATTCTGTATTAATTTGACCATAAAGTGATCAGTTTTATTCTTGGCATCCTTCAGTTCAACTTTTGGACAACATGCAATTTTGAGCGCCAAATGATGCAACTTTTTATATGAAGGCTAGATTTATTTTCTGGTTGCTTAAACCTCGGTGGTCAGAAGAACGTCGTATAGTCGAGCCGAATATTAGAAGTTTAATGTTCAGCTATGGCTGTTATAGACTTATTACGGCTAATTTCAGTCACCATTATGGTAGTGCAATAGCTGTATGAACTATTAGTCATCTGGTCAGGTTTATTCCGAACATATGCCAAGATTTAATGTGCCATTAGTCTGGAGTGACTAAGTTATAAAGTGTCAGTACATGGAAGTCCCGCTGCAATATTACCTCTATGTCTCATGTCATTTACTGACTTGTGACATAAACGCAGTATAGGCTCCAGAAATCATTTATTTACCTATAACCCTATTTCCTGTGGTACTATTGTGTTGTCAACTTTCCTGCTTCACATTGAGGGCTTCATTATTTGAAATATGGATTAGATAATAGTAAACATGCAAGAATTTATTGTCATCCATTTTCTGCGTTCATAGTCAACTTAGGTGTTATGTGAGGCCAATATCGTGGGACTCTGGGATTTCCCTGGCTAACTATTATGGGTTTCGTATTCACTATATGCATGAAACAATGATTATTAGCATTCCAGCCGACAGTTACTTTGCTACAATTTCTTATATATTTGTAAAAAGGCTTAGAAAAGAATTAACCACAACGTATTTTTAAAGTCTAAGGATGTAGCTAATGCATTTCGTTTAGATTATCTAAAGGACTGAACATGATGCTTAAGCCGAGCCACTGCTTTCCTCGACGAACAGTGTTAGCTGATATGATTAATTTGGAAAACAGTTAGGGATGGTCAAACCGAAACCTGGTATCAGTCCACTAAATCTTTGACGGTTGGTTTGAGCCACGTTGGGAGATGTAGACTACCTGGTTGAAGTCCTCGGGATTCTAAGGTCTAACGACTGGGGACTATTGGTGATGTCGTCCATATCCACTAAACTCTCCCGTTTCTTCATGCTACTGTACTTTTTCGCGTACATTCCTGCTAGTCTAAGCTCTTTTGAATTTCCGTTTTCTACTTTTGTATGCTCTGTGGTTTGTATAACTTGAATTACTGCACTTCTATGCAAATTTCTGTGTTGAGACTCAGTCAAATGATGGGTTGCGTAAGATATAAGCCATAATACATTATAAAGTATACAGTTAGCTGCTCGCTATAATTATGTTCATTTATTTGGTCATTAACAACTTGTACATGTTTTCTACATCAAAATTGTTGCACAGTTAGGTTTTATCGTTGTTGTTTATTACTGGAAAGGATCTCACAAGCCTTGAGACAGCTAATAGTTCTAGAAGAAATTCTAAGATGAAATAATTTTACACCCACTTCACTCAATTTCTTTATGGTACGGCGGTGAGTATTCAGTTCCCATGTATTATTGTATTTATGAGTTACTTTCAGGAGTTATATCTCACATTTTAGGTTGCCTTTAAGCTAAACTTCACAGTTAATGCTTTGACCTGAAAAGAACGTGGTCAAGTTTTGAGCCAGTAGATGGCGGTACGACTAGAACTAGAACAATTTTTTTTATCGTGAAGGTATCACTGGTATTTTCTGAGAAACATTGCCATTCTTTAATTAGCTTCCCGTGGAAATATATACTCTACATAAATTATCCTTAGGTACACTTAAGAATGAATAACTAAAGCTCACATCAGTCCTACCTAAAAAAAATCTTTAACTTACAGTCAGATATTTACTTCTGACTTCTAGTTATGTTGATGTTATTCATCTGCTAACTGTAGCAATTATAATTTTGACGATCTCAACAATTAATTAACCCTTATCATCATTTAAACACGCTTGGAACGCCCGAGAGTGACATGCAGGAGATTGTGCGAGGAGATAAAAGCTTATGGGGAATCGTGGGACCGGCTGAAGAAGACCACAGAGAAGAGGACGAAATGGAGATGTGCAGTTGAAGCCCCATCTTCCACTTGGAACCCAAGGGGATAATAATATAATACCATACGACCATGCATTATTACCTAATACTTTGATTTATCCTTCGTATCAGTCGTCTTATTGGGTTGTATATTGGTCGAATCTACAGGTTCATTTATGTTTTGCTTATGCTCTGGTAGCTGAGTAATGTCATCGGATGCAATAATTGTGACTTTCAATCTGTCACGTGTACCTATACTAGTTTTTACTCAATTGTTCAAAATTAGGTAGTAATAGAAGAGAAAATCGTAGAAAATCTTCCCTATATGGACCTACTTTTGGTTGGATTAATTAATACAGCGTCCTTTAGCCTAAAGATGCATATTAGTTATTACGTCATTCCGGCTTGAAATATATGAAAAAACAAAGATTTTATCCAGTTTATATGTTCTTAATTAACTTCAAAGTATTCATTACCATCCTAGTGAAATTTTTAGTAATGGCGTATAGAAGATAATGCTTTGTCCAAACTTAGATGATGTCACTTTGCGAGAATATTATTTAATCGCATAAAAACTTGGTACAGTATAGCACCAAGAAGGATGCGCCACACAATAATAATAAAACAACATAGATCAAAAGAAAAAATATAAGTAGAGAACTTCATCTTGAAGGAAGACAGTCATGCTTAACAAGTTCAAACAGTATTCGTTAACTATCATCGGGAAGGGAAGAAAGAAGGAAATTGCAACACATTCGCCATTGATTACGATTCTTGGCCATATCCCATAACGTTTCGAGCCATCGATTTGAGCTATCTCGGACCCCAACCAGGGAGTCGTGACGCACCAACCGATGCTAATCTAGCACAAAAATCCTTCATCCCGCGACGCCACGTCATGGACTGACCACCTCCCCACCTTTTCCATCCCGTCCCAGGGCTAACGAACAGAGACCTGTACGGAAGCCTCTGAGATGACATTCGCAGCACATGTCCAAGCCACCGGAGCCGGTGTTTCCAGATGACGACACTCAATGAATGGTGATCTCCACTGTGTTCAGACACACGCCGCCGAACCTCAGAATTACTCATGCGATGATGCCATCGAACTCAAGCAATCCTGCGGAGACAGCGGTGATCGAACACGCAGAGTCGCCGCACATCCTCAGCCTACTCGGAGAGGCCAGGTTTCACAGGCGTAGAGCAGGGCAGCCCGCACCGAAGCATTGTATACCCGACCTTTCACAACCAGCTAACGTCGCGACGGCGCCATAGGTGGCTCAAGTTGGTGTATGCCATCCTAGCCTTCATTATACGGTTGGAAATCTCATCTGTCACCCCTCCGCCAGCACTCACACAACTACCCAGGTACACAAACTTACCAACAACTTCAAGCGGTTCACCCGCAAGAGTGAGTGCAGGTATAGACTCTTGCCAATCTTGTAACTACTTTGCACTTAGACGGCGCAAAGCACATACCATACTTACAGACACTGATCGCCAACTGATGAAGTGCGATTTGGGCAGCCTGCATGCTATCGCACAGTAAGACGATGTCGTCTGCATACTTGAGATCGAAAAGCCTATATCTAGGTAGCAGATCTACACCACCTTCACGCACATCCTTCAGAGCTGACTCCAGAATGTCATCGATTGCAAAGTTAAAGAGAAATTTGCGAGAATATAGAACAAAATATATTTCTGATTAAAAATTGGGAATGAATTAGGATATAGTGTCTCTAAGATTAGTAAAAACATTCTGACCTGAAGTGTGGCAAGACTTCAGGTCTCCTGTAGGCACCTTACGAAAGCAAACAGTTCTAAGATTTAGGGGTAGCGTGTTTGTGAACTGTATCTGTTGTTGTACTAGCCAGAAAATTAACGAAATATAGTGGAGGTGTCGATCATTGATAAAAGTATTTGGTTTGAACACAGTGGCCCTTGACTATTCCTCTTACTTGATCCTGTGCATCTGAATGATATCTCAAACCCTTATATAAACCGAGTTATCGTCTGGTGAGTTACATTAACTTTGTAAATGCAATAGTAATTCACATTTCCGGTTGCCTTAGATTTTTCTCTAGCTGTTTGTAATAACACTGACAAGTCAAGAAAGGATAATGGGTGTCCGAAGGCTTATTGTCTCTGGATTCGAGATAGCTTTCAATCAGACAAGTTTTTACTTTAAATTCAATTCAAAGAATAGTTCAGTTGACTTAAGACTAGCATTTAAAAGCTTTGAAAATTTCCCCCAAGTAGAACACTGACTTCCTGAGGTCCGTAAACCTTCATGTACCCTAAAACAAATAAAAGTCAGAGCGTGCTTATTCCCTGTCTGTGTGTATCTGTAGAGACGGTGATTTGCGGTTCGGCTTCCAATTATGTTTTTTCCGTGGTTCACTTGAGCTGATTTGGTCATTCTCGTCATTTCTTTTCACCTCTGTCATTTAGGCACATTCATCCTATTTAAAGATTTCTAAACTTACGTACTGTAAACAGACTGCATAATGCTACTAAGCAAAGATGCTAATATCAAGAGGTTTTCGAAATGACACAAGTCTGTTATTGAGAATAGTGGGAAATGTTCAGAAAACAATACACACTGTTCTAAAGCATTGGGACCTAGTCTTGGGCAGCACGAATATTAGGTGTAGGTAACTTGAACAAGCTAACTGGTTGATAAAACTATAAGCCTTCGGGAATTAAGATGTCAAGGATATACGATCACACATTTCTTGCAGTATTAGTTATACAGGATAAAATCAAGCGCTGACACCATTCCATAAAAGATTTGACTGTGGGTCTGCGTAGCTTTTGTATTTATTGGCTTCCAGGTATAGTTCTGAAGTCAGAAGTAGATGAATTTGTGGTTGGTTAACCAGTACTAGAATTTCATTCGTTTTTACCTACTATCTACTCTTAACCAATATTTAAAAAAGTTGTATTAGGTTGAAGGAGAAAAAATGGATAGCCAAGTGAAACATAAAACGTATATATAACTTTTGTTATAAACTGTTTCGTGAATGCACTTTTTCTGCTTAAAGTCGGCATTGTAAGTGAATTCTAACTGGAGACTGTAAGTCATATGGTTCGTAATCGAACAAAGTAGCACAGATGCATTCATGCGTTATCTTCATGTTCATTGCATTATTACGCTTAATGTACTACATTTTTTTGTATCTTATAATATATAAAGACTATTATTTTGTGTCTTTTTGTATTGCCTTACGTTTGGTTCGCAGATATAATATGAGACCAACTGGACTACTATGCAAAAATGCTATTTACTATGTTTGTACAGTCTGTCTGTCAGTTTAGAGTTTTACTCCATTGACAGTTTTTTAAGGTAACCACTCAGCATGGTTAGCTGTCGCACAGTGTGTTTAATTGTTCACTATACAGGTTTTTACGTAGCTCTTTTATTTTATTTTGTATAGATGATACTTATTCCTATCATTTTCTCCTGGTTAAGTCGACAATTCTTATTTACAGTGGTTACTTTCACCTAAAAAGAAAAAGATTGGTTATTTATCGTGGAGTTGCAGGAAGTACTACACATCGGAATTAATTGACCAGCCATACAACTTCTGTGTCACATACTGGAGTAGATAATCGTCTAGATATTTAAATTCATAGATAGGTTGGCTACTATTGTTGTGACATCGATGTTTACAGCGGGATCCATTACATTGTTCATGAGTTATTCATACTTTATTACATTCTGATGGAGAGGTTAAAAGTAACTAACGTTTTTTTGGCATTCTTTCTTCGAGAATTATCGAGTGAGGAGGCTAGCGTAAAGAAACCTAACTTTTTTGAAGGAATGTTTTTTTTCATACGTCTAAATTTAGGAAAACTAGTCACAAAGTTTTCAAGTTCCTAAGTGATAAACTATGTGGAAATGGCTGGTTACAGTTCCACAAACTCATCTATTTCTTATACTTAACAACAATATGAAAATAGCCAAGTCAATGGATTCTCATGTTTCATTCATTTTATTATTTTCTCTACGTAGCTTCCATATCTGATACTGAATCAAGTATCAATCATGATAACCTTAGTGTTTATCATTTCAACAATACCTCAGCTGATGACTTATCAGATTGTGATTGTAGCTGTACGTCATCGTGTGATTCCTTTACTTCTGATCAACAATCAGTTGATCATTCACTGGATGAAATCAATTCAGACGTCTCTGGTCCAATTGATGTTGATCTTGGGGCTAACTATTTGATTGGATGTTCAAATCGACAAGCTGAACAACCTTTGTTTCACTTAGCAAATATGCTAAGAATACCTACTGCTGTCACCGCTGGTGATTTATGTAAAAAGTATCGAGGTTGGGAGTGTGTCGAGGTGGCAAAATGGCTTAATCATTATTCACCACAGTGTCCAATAACTGCTGATCAAGTAGCGGAAGGAGTATTTCTCTTTGATAGGGTTACTCATCTTACTGTTGATCGTTATTTAGAAATGAAGTCTAAAGCGCAGAATTCAGTCCTTAATATGTCAGTCAAGGTAAGCACTTCTGTGATTTTATAATTTGTTTCATTAAAATCCCCATAATTGTAATCTAATGATATATATATATATATATATATATATATATATATATATATATATATATATGCGTCGGTGGCACAGTGGTTAGGACTCTCAGCGACCATGCACATGGTCCGAGGTTCGATCCCCTGCCGACTCACACCTGATATCTATGGTCGGTCTGCGAAATTCGGGCTACCGATATCCATGCTGAAAATTCCGTACTTGTGCCAAAAATACAGTGTGGAATCAAGCTGTAATGAAAAATAAAAAATATATATATATTATGTGGAGGATTTCACCATGACCTGACATCAGTTAGAGAACCACTGGAAAACCTGGGAGTACTGGACAGCTGTTTCGTCCTAGTCTGGGACTCTTCGGAAGTACGCACCCACCGGGGTTCGAACCCAGGACCTTCTGGTTACAAGGCGAGCTGTAACTGATTTCAGCTCATGGTGAAATCCTCCATACAATCAAACAAAATCCCTACAAAACCAATACTTGAAAATATATATATTAGTCGAATATAGCTGAAATTAGCATATTCTAACATTCGGCATACTTCGTACCCAATAAGTTAATGGGATGAATAAGCGATAATCGAAAGCGTAAATTTTTGTTAAAAGTAATTTTCTCTATTTTGTTTTTAAATAGAATTGAAAACATCATAACATACTACTATGGGGTTCGGTATTTTCGATTCATCAGACTTTAATTAGTAATCATGACAACTAATGCATTCAATTTGTGATCATTTAGTGACCACTGTAAATATAACTTTATTCGTTGGTCAGTTGGCGAAGTTTCCAACTCTCATTGAATTCAGTAACTAAGAGTATGCTTAAATGTGTTATAAAACTCTGAGTATAATCAAACCAGCACACGGCACCACTTCTTAGGTACCATGAATTTTAGTGTGGGCCTCGTAGCGTGATAGAAAATTACCGGCTAGTTATTGACATTGAGTAACTGCTCAAAATTAAGCAGTCAGTTAAACAAGTTGTCGTAAATGCTCACTATAAAGTGTTACAACTGAGTTAACATACTTTAGAAAACACCAAAAACTTTATCCGATTAGCTGTTATGCTATGGCTCTATGTGTTCCTTCGTGCTTGGAATTATGGAAGCGTAAGTTAGACAAAAGTCACAAAGTAGGATTACTAAAAGACTATATTTTGTCTGGCTAAAAACATTCTCACAAAGTAATCCTGTCTTTTGTATTTTAGAAATGTTATATTCCTGTCACCTTCGAATGGGATATCTTTACCCTTTTTTTTCTCCCAGGAACTTTACGATCAAGCACTACAGGATTTATTTGACTTGGAATTTAGATTAGGATATCGACCTAGTGCAGGTTTTCGCGATCCGGTCGAAGAAGGAATTTTTCAGTCTATAGTTAGCCGTTATTTGGCATACGTTAACCCTATGGAACGTCTACCGTTGTGTGTCTTAGACGACTTGTGTGAACAGACAGATTCGAAGTGGCAATCGAATATTTTCGGTGAAAAATCCAATATGTCTAAGTATGAGACAATTCCATCATCTTTAGCATTTCAACTTGTACGGGGATATCCTACAGCTGATCAAAGAAGAGCCTATAATGCTTGGGTGGAACGAAAATTGGATGCTTTAAAAAATAATGAAAAAGCTTCTCTCCCATCAGTTACTAAAACTGTATGCGTTAGCTGGGAAGATCGTTTAGTAACCAGCCGATTCAGTGATGTATTGAATCCTTTACTTGAAGGTGTAAATGTGATATACAATGCTGTGGTAACTGAAATTGATTGGAGCAAAACCTTTAATACTGAAAGACATGCGGTGATAGTCAAAGCTAAAGTTCGACGACAATGTCAGTCGGCTGAAAATCAGAATGGTTCTACAGTTCAAATTATAGAAGAAGAACAAATTTATGAAGCTAAACACTGTATTATTACTGTTCCAGTGGGTGTATTAAAAGGTAAGTTATATTAATCAGAATATACTACTGACAACTTTAAAAGTCTAGTGGCATATTCATTCATTCAGCGTGTATTTACATACAAAAATCACTTTCACCTTGATTAATAACCATATTCAGTGTATTTCTTGAGCTCGGTCACTCGCATCAAGCTGAATTGCATTTATTGAGTTTGGACTGATGTGATATTACCAGTCGGCCAAATTCTAATATAGGTGGAGTGAGATTTGAACCTGGCATAGGATAAGGGCATGTTTTGTCTAATTTTTTGGTATTATGAGTAAAGTTATCGAAGTGTACAGAAAGTTCACTAATAATTAGGTAGGTGATTGAGGCATTCAGTATCATGGAATCAATTCCACTTAGAGTGCAGATATTGTTTACTAAAAATTATTGTGATATATGGACTCTAGATTTGCAATTTCTTGTAAATTGACTCTGTAAAACTTTTCATAACCATTCGACTCTTTTCAGTTGTTTCCAGTTTATTTCTATATATTGATACTTAATTTTTCTCCATTGGGTAACAAATTTTCTGGTTTTATCAGATGCAGACTGACCACAAATAATTCATTTTCAATCGTTTTTACACAGTAGTTTAGTATTCAAATGTTGGTTTGCAGGGATTTGAATGGTTACAAGATTTCATTATGAGCTGATATCAATCAGAAAACCACTGGAAAACCCGGGAGTACTGAAAGGCTGTTTCGTTCTAGTTTGGGGATTTTTATCAGTACGCAGCACACACCTGGGTTCAAACCCAGAACGTTCCGGTTACAAGGTGAGCTCGTAGACTATTAAAGCACTGGGATCTTACACAATGGCCCATGAATTTCAACTCTTGCTAATTCATGGGCCATTAGAATCGATTCCAATAGTTCTCTGATTGATGTCAGCTCATTATGAAATCCTGTAAACAATAGTTTAGTTCTAAAGATAGAGAATTATTACTGCGTACTATCCTAAATGCGTGCGTCGGTGGTATAGCGGTTAAGACGCTCGCCGACCATGCATATGGGCCGGGGTTCGATCCCCGGCCGGTGCACTCCTTTACCTTACTGAGCCAGAAATAATGCTGGTAAAGAGGAAAGGTTGGGCATGAGGCTAGCAACCCCATCCTGTAAAAGTTAAACACTGCTACAGAAACTTCAAGCCACTAGCTTGGAGCCCTATGTTCCACTGGGAACGTGAAGGAAACATTATTTAACTATCCTAAATGCAGGATTCAACAGTTACTAGTTTACTAGTGTTCAGTCAAATTTCATGTCATTTACTACATCAAGGAACAGGTTATAAGAGAGTATGTGTAATATGGTAAATAATTTAATGTAATAAAGATATATAATTATTACGTTGTTCCACTAACCACTTTCACCCTTCTTTTGTAATTGATTTCATTGAGATGTGTATTAATTTTCAATCCAAATCAGCACAGCTTATATCATTCATTCACTTCATAGCTGATTAACTGTAGACGAGTGGATTCTCAACCAAATGTTCATGAAGTAAGTGTATGCCGGTTATTACCGTCGCCTGGCCACATAACTTCGATTTTGTTTTCCAAGTTAATTTGGAGCATGTTTAGTATACTTAAATTTCCAGTATTTGTTTTTATCTGAACATTTTTAATCTCACCGTATTTTCAAGGTCTTTGTCCTAGTTCAGCTATCAAGTTTTATCCTGAACTACCACTCGAGAAACGGAAGTCTATTAAACGCTTAGGAATGCCGTGTAAAGGTTCAGCTACACATGAAAAAGTTATTCTACGTTTTAAGTGTCCTGAGGATGTTTTCTGGGATACTCGTGCAGCTCACCTCAAGTGTCCTGATCCCCGTTTGCACATTCTTAATTTACATCGTTACGGTAAGCCAACTTTATACTTTTTTCAATAAACATTTTGTCGACCATATATAGTAGTTATCATGTGTTGAATTTCATTACAGCAACGGTGATCCCATCTTCTAAATATGCCTCTTTATGAAGCATATTTGGTGTTAAGAACCAGTGGTAAGAAGGTATTAACTAGGAAAAGTTCGAAGTCAACCACATCATCATTATAGGATTGTTGTAATTCGAACTCTTCATCATTTACTCAGGTTCGACTGTCAACTATCATCAACTGTTGGGCATTTGATATGCCTCTAAATAAATGAATACGTGCTTATTTAGAAAGAGTTAAGGGTGATCAGACCTATATCTGGCGTTAGTTCACCAAGACACTGAACGTTGGTTACAGGTTTGACTGTGAGCTGGCATAATTTAGAGGATCATTGGAAAACCATAGCGCAGCCGCCAGATAATGTCTCTTACCTGACTTGGTAGACCCTGCTGGTTGCGACCTCTCAACGCAGTAATGGTCTGAACCACGTTTGAAGGTGTAGACTGCTGGGCTTTGATAATCAGTTCGTTGGGAGCCATTGTTTTCAGGCTCTTGTGTTGACATGGCTAATTTCGCGTATAATGTCTCTGATGTATTCACTTCTTGTAATCTGCTTTCCAAAAATGCTGACAATTACTCAAGTAATTATTCTTGACTTTTTAAACCTCTGTCTATTGGAGTTTCGTTACTTTTCTTTTATCTATTGTTGTATGTCTTTCTAAAGTTTGGCAACTTGGACTTATACACTTTTGTGCAACCAAGCGTTGACCAAAGGGCATGTGTACTGCTCAGCAGTTCTCTCTGTCCTCCTTTGTGGTTGGCTGTGAGACATGGCCATTGAAAGTGAAAGACATGAAAAGCCTGGAGAGCTGCCTTCGATCATATGTGTCTGCGTGTTATCTCCCATGTTAAGTGGTATGATATGGTAAGCAATACTGAACTTTGGCATCGATTATGTACTAGATAAGGAGGGAGGGGAGATCAATCGATGAAATTGTGAAGCATCTGCATCGATTGAGGTGGTTAGGACATGTGTTGCGCATGCCAATCCATCCTCTTCCTCGATGGGCAAAATTAACTGACATAGGATGAATCAGGTGGAAAAAGAGCTGATGGTGGTCAGACCAAAACATGGCTTCATTGGTCAATGAAATCCACAACAGTTAGTTTAAGCCAGCCAGTCATATAGGAAGGTGTAGACTTCTTGACTGGTTGGGGTCCTCGGGATGGTAAGAGCCAATGGCTGGAGACAATTGTTGATATGGCCTAAAATCGTTCTCAATGATGGCGCAGATGCATCCACTCTGAGATTTATGATATCCAATAAAGTTCAATTGTTTTTCCATATTACTATTTTTTTTGTCTCGTATTTCTGTTTATTATCTCTGTTTTGAACCTCCGTTTGCTCTCTTCTCTTGCTTTGTGTGCTACATGTAGGGAGTGTGGCAACTCAAACTGCTGCACATCTGTGCAAAGTTGTACGTTGGAACCAGTCAGTTAAATAATTGTTAATAATGAAATCTGTCTTAGAATTGATGTCTATGTAGCGTATCTGTTTATTCCTTTACACTTACATTTCATTCGGTAATGTATTTGTGCTTTAAATAAAAACATACGGGGCCAGTTGAGCTATATGTATCGTATCACGTGACCTATATTGAAAGTCAGTGGATCAGATAATTCCAGTCAGAATGTGGCCTATGCACCCAATTATTTTACTTTTGATCAGTGGATCCTGATTTTAAACAATGCAACATCTGGTGTGATGATAGAAGTCGAGTATTGTCATAAGCCTGTACGTTAAAGTAATATAACCTAAATTATCACACTTACTGAGTGACTTAGTTGACTTAGTGTGGAGCGTGTCTGTCTCGATAACATGTGGGACGAGTGTAAATATTAGTTTAAAGGTCGATTTCGTCACCGACTAGTGTCAGTTAGAGAACCATTAAAAGACAGGAAGCACTAGAAAATTGGTTCGTCCTTGTTTAGGATTTTTCAGTGGCGGAAACGCATGACCTCGCTAGACATCCAACACTTGAATATATAGATTTCCTTTGTGGAGTCACTAGATCTCGACCGGTATCTGCTACCTTGGTGTGATGGTTGACCCTGCATATCAGAATAGACGACTGGAATGTTGAAAGGAACATTTCGAAGAGCAACGTAACTGGCCTACAGCCACTCTCAAATTGCCGAGCATGCGACATCTCCCTGGATGAGAAGTAAGCACTGGTCCTCTGTCCCTAACTGAGATTACAAAATCTCCCTTTAGCCTGAAACGAGGTGAAGCAGTGGGACCTGATGGAATGACTTCAGAGATATTTAGGGACGGTGGAGACAATTAAGAGTTAATTACGGTGCCATTTTTTTTCGAAAGTTGTCCCACTTATCGTTTACCTGTTGACGCCTGTTTCCCTGGCAGGCGTTAGATAGTTGTTTGGTGTTACCTTTCGGCGATACCTTTCCCATCGCCTTCGCTTTTGTCGCCTACCACTGTTCACCGTCGTTGTGAAGACTTTTCGTCAGTTTGCGTTCGAGCACCTCTTGCTCCTCATCATATTCGGAGCTCGTCGGAATCAGTCTTCTTGCGTCTATCATTTCAGGTAAAGTAGCAGAAATCCACTAGCTTTTACTAATTTTTGGTTTTAGGTTATTAATAGCCTTTACAGCTGTGTCAACAGCTAACTGTATGTTGTGCCAGGCTACCTCAGAGGGAAGTCCTGCTGTCGACCTCAGACACACGTTTCGCTATTTTCTCCTTAAATAGGGACTCAGAGTCTCGATCTACTTGGGGACGTATCTGTTTCGCTGCCAATAGAAAGTTGGCAGCGTGACTTTAAGAAACTATCGGAAGTGTTTTACTGGCTGTCGTCACTATTTATGGTCACAGAATAAAAGGAAGATGACTTACCAGCCTTCATAATAGTATTACCAGTAGTAGGAAAAGATGCTGAGGGTGTCGTGGATAAATGAGAATGATGATCAGGAGGGCTTCATGTGCTTTCGGAAGTGTGTGGGCGGTTCTTACTTTCTGGCTGCTGATGCCGCAGAGAGCAGGAGATAGCTGCTTAAGACTGGTCACACACGGCCTGTTTGAACTGGCTTTTAGGCTTAATTCTGTATTATTAACCGCTGACTACGGACCACCGTAGGGTAAGTCGGGATGTACCATTTTTGGGGTTGACCTTACCTAACCTTCTATCTTTATTTGCGGAGAGACAGTATATCTGGCATGCTCGTCATCCAAGATAAACACACTGCTGTTACATCACTGTTCGCCTGCAGTAGGAATCTGCCCACATGCCCCAGCATAGTGTAAGAAACCTTACACTATGCAGGTAACTGCTTTTAGTATAATCGATATCCTAGTATTCTTCCTGGAATGGTAGAACCTACAGACATATTAGTTTCAGCCAGTGTAGTATGTTCGTTCCTTTTAGAACTTCAATAATCACCATTTTCAACCCGACCGAAAGCTGCTACCTTGACGTGGTGGTCGGGCTTGAACACCGCAATGACCTAATCAAGCTATACTGGCTGAGACTTATGTCTCTTGAGGTTCTACCATGCCAGGCAGGTTGTTTGGATAGCGGTTAAACAAAAAGCAGCTACCCAATCCAACATCATGTCCAATACAAAATTACAAAATTTCATGCCGGATCGGCCGTGGCCCGGATTAACAACGACCGCGCTTCCTGCTGCCGTGTCACAGGGCAGGAGTGATAAATCTGCTACTGAGACACACCAAACAAAAAGAACAAACAAAAACAGGCCGCGTGTGACCGGCCTCAAGCAGTTGTCCCCTGGGCTCTGCGGTCACGCAACCAACTTCCACGGTGTGGGCAGCCGGGAAGTAACAATCGCCCTCACAATCCGAAATGCACACGAAACCTCTCTATTACTCACTCATCTTTGTCTTCATCTTCATCTCTATCATCTTGCCTTCCTTCCACTGATGCAACTCCTCGACTTGATAGCTCTCCACTTCCTCTCCACTCTGCGTCCACTAAAAACGATGGAAGCCAAAAAACCACCACCGACAGCCTCTTAAAGCCGCGCCACCAATTTCATATAGGAGCTCTTAATGTTAGGACACTTTGCCAAATAGGACAACAAGCATCACTAGCCAAGACCCTGGCATCACGAGCCATTGATGTATGCTGTGTTTCAGAAACACGCATACAAGACCCAAGTGTGGTTATTCACCTAACCCCACCTGGCCAACAGGTTGAATCTGCAAAATTCACCTTGAGGGTGTCAGGAGATGCCACAGCTAGTTCACGAGGATTAGCTGGCGTAGGGATAGCTTTGAGTACTAGGGCAGAAAAGACATTGCTTGACTGGATCCCGGTAGATAGCCGAATGTGTGCTGTCCGCCTGAACGGATCAGTAAGAAGGAGGAAGGACTGCACTACTCGCCGATGCCTTTTCGTAATCTCCGCCTACGCCCCCACTGACTGCAGTTCAGATGAAACGAAGGATGAGTTCTACCAAAAGCTGTCTAGTTTGGTGGAAAGGCTAAACGCTCAGACATAGTCGTTCTAGCTGGTGACTTTAACGCTCAAGTAGGGAAATTGTGTCAATCTGAGAAGGATGTCGGTGGCACCTATGGAGCTCCGTGCCAGCGAACCGACAACGGTGACCGTCTCCTACAGTTCTGCTCTGATAATCATTTGTTTCTTGTAAGCACTAACTTTAAACACAAGGAGAGACACTGTTTGACTTGGAGACCCCCTTCATCAAACCAACGCTGGACACAAATAGACCACATAGCAATAAGCTATCGTTGGCGTGGGTCGGTAGGAGATTGTCGCTCCTTCTGGAACACGTGCGTAGATACCGACCATGCACTGGTCCGCGCTCGGGTGTGCTTACGACTGAACGGACGTAGGAAACAGCTGGCGGTAAAACCATCACGTCCCCAGCTCGATCAGGAAACTAAATCCGTATTTCAGGAAGAACTAGCTAAACACATATCTGTGTTCGACAGCTGTGCTCACCCTGAAGAAGCTTGGAAAAATATCCAGGCAGCCATAGATACAGCTGTAAAAGCTGTGAATAAGGTAAACCCAAAGGTGAGTAAAAACCACTGGATCTCCACCGCCTCATCCGAACTGATAGATGCTAGAAGACTTATTCCGGCGAGCTCCGAATTCAATGAGGAGCGAAAGCTGCACAAGAGGAAACTTACGAAAAGTCTCCGCAAGGACCGTGAACAGTGGTGGGCGACAAAAGCCAAAGAGATGGAGAAAGCTTGAGGATAGGCAACACCAGGCAACTCTTTGGACTCATCAGGGAAACGGGTGGGAGAAGACAAATCATTAGTGAGACAATCTCGGAAAAAAATGGCACTATAATTAGCTCCAGGATAGACGACTGGATCGTTGGAAAGAGCATTATGAGGAGCAGTTTAATTTGCCCACAGCCACGCTCAACCTTCCGAGCATCCAACACCTCCCTGAATGGGATATAGACACAGGTCCTCCGTCACTAACTGAGGTTACTAAAGCTGTCACCAATCTGAAACTAGGCAAAGCAGCGGGACCTGATGGAATGACTCCAGAGGTATTTAAGTACGGTGGAGACAGCTTACTGTCCGGATTAACTGAGGTACTAGGCAGCGTCTGGGAATCAGAAGAAGTCCCATCGGGTTGGTGTAAGTCACTGATTATCCCCATATACAAGAAGGGAGACAAGTCTTCCTGTGATAATCACAGAGGGATTAGCTTGACTAATATAGTATCTAAAGTCTTAGGCTCAATAATCATGCGTAGACTGAGTGGTGCTCGGGAAGCACAAACACGAGAGAGCCAGGCAGGCTTTAGACCAGGAAGAGGGTGTATTGATCATATCTTCACCCTCCGACAGATTCTAGAACATAGGCATTCCTACCGGCGTCCAACAGTCATTATATTTCTTGACCTAAAGGCAGCATTCGACTCTGTCGATCGGGAAGTTCTCTGGAGATGCTTGGCTGTAAAGGGAATTCCAAGAAAATATATTGCACTGATTAAGGCACTCTATTCGTACTCATACAGCCAGGTGAGGGCTTACGGCGAGCTGTCATCTGAACTGATGACGACCAGTGGTGTCCGTCAAGGATGCCCATTATCTCCTTTTCTATTCAACTTCATCATAGATGTGTTAATGGACTTAACCCTAGGTGACTTCAGCGACTCAGGGATTGACTTGCTACCGGGGAATAATCTCGTTGACTTGGAATATGCAGACGATATAGTCCTTCTAGGCGAAGACGCTGACGAAATGCAGAGTCTTCTAAACACCTTGAGCCGCAATCTACGAATGTTTGGCATGCGATTCGCTCCCGCCAAATGCAAGATGATGTTACAGGACTGGACTACATCGACGCCTAGTTTAAAAATAGGAAGTGAAGTGGTAGAGCACGTTGACCGCTTCACTTATTTGGGAAGTACCATCAGCCCCAACGGGCTGATCTCTGACGAAATCTCAGCACGAATACAAGGGGCTCGTTTCGCATTTGTTAGTTTACGCCGACTCTGGCGTAGACGAGATGTTCGACTATCGACCAAAGGGCGGGTGTACTGCTCATCAGTCCGCTCCGTCCTCCTTTATGGTTGTGAGACCTGGCCACTGAGAGTGGAAGACATGAAAAGACTAGCTGTCTTTGATCATAGGTGCCTGCGTTCTATTTCCCGTGTAAAGTGGCATAATAAGGTGAGCAACATGGAGGTTAGGCGTAGAGTTCTAGGTAAACAGGGGAAATCAATCGACGAAGTCGTGAAGCTACAAAGACTGAGATGGTTAGGACATGTGTTACGTATGCCAAGCCATCGCCTCCCTCGACGAGCAATGTTAGCGGATATAGGGTCAGGCTGGAAAAAAGCTAGCGGCGGTCAAACAAAAACTTGGCATCAGTCAATGAAATCCACAACAGTTGGTCTAAGCCACGTAGGAAGGTGTAGACTTCCAGGCTGGGGTCCTCGGGACGGTAAAAATCTATGGTTGGAAACAATTGGTGACATGGCTCAAAATCGTTCTCAGTGGCGCAGATGCATCCACTCCCTGTGACTTATGATCTTCAATGAAACTGTTTTGTATTTCTTTATTACTCCTTTGTCTCACACCTCTGCTCACTGTTTCTATTATGCTTTTCTTGTACTTTCTTCTCTTGCTTCGCGTGCTACACGGAATGTGGCGACTTGAACTTCCGCACATTTGTGCAAAGTTCTATGTCGAAAACAGACAGACAGAGAGACATTTTCAACTGCGATAAATGTAATAAATTTAATATTGTTTTTGTTAAACTTATTTCCTACAATTGTTATTCACTCATTTCGTAGGTAAACCTGGTGTTTTATGTGCTCATCTATGGGGAGGATCGGGTATTAATTCTGCTGGTCGAACGGACGAAGAAGTTGTTGACATTATATTAGATTTATTAGATGGTATGTACGGAAAGAATGTCACTGTCTGTACATTGAACGGTAATAGTGATGAAGACAGGAAACCAACAATTAATCGTCGAATCCCGAATCCTGTGCATTATTTAGTTACACGATGGTCAGAAGATCCTTTCGCTTTAGGTGCTTATACTACCGGGGAACCAGGATGTTCAGATGTTGATCGGTCAATTTATGCAAAAAGTTTAACAGGTTTTGATGCAAGCATCCAACTACATTTTGTAGTGAAAATTGAACTAAATGATGATGGGGATGTTGTTGACAGTAATACCGACGATGAGTTGAGGTATCCACGACTTTTGTTTGCTGGTGAGGGTACTCTCACATCTAATGAGGCTAAGGTAAGTGAAGCATATCGTGTAGTTGTGTAGTAGTTGTTCCGAAGGTAAAATCCCAAGATCACCAGTGATGGTGAGTAACTATATTATCTGCTATACGACACCAATCTTTCTGTTTAAAGCGATGTAACGTGAGAATAAAATTCATGTTCTTTGCTGGTTATTAGTCAATTTTCCATAACACTTACCTAAAGTGTCCGTATTCTTGAAAGTATAATGGACTTTGTTTTCAGTATATCTATATGTGCATCAGACCAAGCTTTTAATAATTTTAGTACTTCAACAGGTAATATACAATGTCTTCATACTGACATACTGTGCGTCGGTGGTACAGTCGTTAGGACTCTCGCCGACCATGCACATGGTCCGAGGTTCGATCCCCTGCCGACGCACACGTGAAATCTATGGTCGGCCTGCAAAATTTGGGCTACCGATATCCATGCTGAAAATTCCATGCTTGTACCAAAAATACAGTGTGGAATCAAGCTGTAAATCAAAAAAATAAATAATTCGGACAACAGGCAGGTCTAGCCAGAACATTACGAGGCCCCACTTTTAATGTCTGGTGCATTTCAGAGACCCACATTCAAGATTTCCATTGAAGTGCTTCGAATATCTTCTTCACTTGAAAGTTCGAATGGTGTGTACTGCCTGCACTTATTCGGACACCCTGTGGCGTTGATATCCGGCTTAGCTGGTGTCAGTGTTTCACTAAGCGCTAGTGCCGAAGCTGCATTAACATAATTTATGTTTTGTGAAGCTAGATTATACGAGAGTAGGAAGCGATCGGTCTGAGAGACGGTGCCTATTTATCACCTCTGTATATGCGCTACGGATTACAACCACGATACA